ACATCTGTATAATCTACAGATTTAATGCAACCCATATCAATATCCCAATAATATTCTTTGCATTTCTGAAATTCATATGGAGTTTCAAGGGACTTCCAACAGCAAAACAATTCTGAAAAGAACAAAGCCAGAGGATCATACTTGTTGACTTCAAAACATTTTACAAAGTGAAGGTCACAGAAAGAGCATGGTATTAGCAAAAGACAGATAACAGATGAATGGAATAAAATAAAAAGCTCAGAAACCTACCCTCACATGTATTATCAAATGAAGTTTGACAAGAGTGCCAAGTACCTTCTGTGGGGAAAGTCACAGCTTACCTACTACCACATATAAAAATAAACTCAAATTGATCAAAGACCTAAACGTAAGAGCTGAGAAAACAAAACTCTTAGAAGAAAACACAGGACCCATGACATTGGAATTGGAAGTAGGTTCTTGGATATGACACCAAAAACACAAGCAACAAAGTAACAGTAGCTAAACTAGGCTGCATCAAAGCTTAGTATTTTGGGCCATCAACAGAACTAGCAGAGAGAAAGGCAACATATGGAATGAGGGGAATATCGGCAAATCACATGGACAAGGGGAAAATCCAGGTTAGATGAAAAACTCCTTCAACACAACAAGACCCAAATGACACAATTAAAAATGGGCAAAGGGCTTGAATAGATATTTTTCCAAAATACACATACAAATGGTCAACAAGCACATGAACGAGTGACCAACATCACTCCTGTGGTTTGAATGTGGTCTTTGCCCCCAGGCTCATGCGCTGGACCTCAGTGTGTGGCAGTGTTAAGAGGTGGTGGGTCTTTAAGAGCGAGGAGCCCAGTGGGAGGTCTTTAGGTCACTGGGGGTGTGCCCTCAGGGAGAGTGTGGGAGGGTCTCTCTCTCTCTCTGGCTTGTCTCACCAGGTGACCCCTTCCTGTCACACACAGTTCTGCCACTGTGATGCCATCCTCCATAAGGCCCTGCCAGGGCTAAACACATGTCAGTGCCATGCCCTTGAGGATATGAGTGCTGGCTTTTCCGTGCCCAGATGGTGTGAAATCACTAATCTTTCCTGGAGGTTGAACTCTCCACACTGTGTTAAGATCCCCTCCTGTTCTCTGTGGACAGGCAGCAAGGGATGGTCAGCTGCTCTATGGCATGCTTCCACCACGTGTCACCATCTCTCTTCCAGGAAGGGATACTGAGATCTATTCCATGCTTATATCCACAGAGCCTGACCAGGCATGCGGGGTGTCTCTCTCTCTTTCTGTGTGTGTGCATGTGTGTGTGTGTGCCCCTGGAATTACATCACTGCAGAGACACAGGGCAGGTGCTATGCTGAGTCACATGCAGTGCTGATCTTGTGGTCTCAGCCCCTTGAAGTGCGCTCCAGGGTGCTGCCATGTCAGCCTACTCTCGCAACCCTTGGCACTCCATGGTGCTGTGGTCTCCCCAGCACAGAGTGGTGTAACACTGTCCACTTCCCATTTCTCTGGTGAGCGGTGAGTCTGAACATTTCTACATCAGCCTTTAGCATTTCCTCTTCTCTGAACTGTCTTTCAAATCCTTCGTCTGTTTTTCTGTTAAAATTACAGTGTGTATTAGTTTCCTATTGCTGATGCTACAAATAACAACAAACTTGGGAACCTAAACAAACACAGGTCATTTTACAGTTCTGGAGGTCACATATCTGAAATACCTTGCTGGGCTGGGTCCTCCTAAAGTCCCTGAGAGACCCTTTCCCAGCACTTAGAGGCTGCTGCAATCCTCTTAGCCCCTCCCTCCACCTTCAAAGCAGCTCAACAACTTTAGATTCCTGACTCCACCTTCTTCCCCTCTTCCATGTTTACAGGTCTCATGCAGCTCAGAAAGCCCATAGGGCCAGCCCCTTTCACTGAGCTCAAGCAGCTTAGCAGTTATAAAATCATCTGCAACGCTGGCCCCACCACACAAGGGCATGTGGTCACAGCTCCAGGGATTAGAGTGCATGCGTGTGTGTGTGTGTGTGTGTGTGTGTGTGTGTGTGTGTGTGTCTGTGAGGCTTTACTCTGCTCACAGAAGGGGGCTTTTTTAGGGTATTAGCATTCTCCAGAATTCTCTAATAAAACATATTGATGTTTTATTGGCTTCAGGCTCCCCATATGTCCTCTCCTCTCACTTTTAATTAACTTCTTCCATGGAAGCTATCTAATGTGGTATAACTTAGCAAATCTTTATCCTACTTTTTTTTGTTTTTTTAAAGTTTTATTTACCAATTTCTTCTTTTTTCCCCTCAAGTAATAAAGGTATGGCCTTAATTTTTTTATAATAGTTTTTACCTTTCACATTTAGGTTTTGTCCCATTTGATGTCAAGAACACAGTTTTGTAACCGTGACAGTGGAATATTCAAGCCCCTGGGGAGTGGGGCCTTTCAGCTTCCCACTCCTCCGATGCTGACAAACCTCTTCTAGAATATTTATTACCCAGAGACTTTTGTGTGACCTCTAAGTGCTTACTGAGTTCTTCAAAATCCACCTGAAATTTTGACTCAAAATCACCCTGGACTTATGGACAAACACATTTCCTTTGTTAGCTCATATGCTCTCTCCTCCATCATTCATGCTGTCCTGGGTCCTTTATTAAAGCATCAGGTTTTGGCCTCACGGTTCCGCATATTTTCAATTAGATTAACTTCTGGATGTTTTCCAGGTTCCAAAGCCATTGTGAACAGAATGGTATGTATGTATGTATGTGTTTATTTATTTGAGACAGGGTCTTACTGTGTAGTTCAGGCTAGTCTTGAACTTGTGGTGATGTTCCTGCTTTGGCCTCCTGAGTGCTGGGATTACAGACTGCACTTGGTATTTTTAAATTACATTTTGTTTGGTTATTGCTGGTATAGAAAAAGGTTAATCATTTTATGCTTATTGATCTTACATCCTGAAAACCTGCTAAACTTTTCTATTTTTTCTAGTAGGGTTTGTTCTTTTTGGCTTTTCTACAGAAAATCATCACACTCTCTGCAAAGAATGTCAGTGTTATTTTTCCCCTTCAAATCCTTTTCTCTTATTCCTGTGCATGGGAAAGACCTCTGGTGCTATTAATAGTGTCAGACTTCATCACATGTCCTGAGTTAATCATGTTATTTTTCTCTCTTCATCAATTAATAAATTGTACATTTACATTTACATATGCGCTTGTTGAATCAACCTTGATATCACATGGTAAACTATTAGATCACAATATTCTATTTAGATTTGTTTTAAATGTGTATTAGTGAGTTTGGCACATTAGCATTTTACATTGAATTCTTAGGTACAGTCCTAATAAAATGTGTCTGTTCTCTGTTTTAAAAAGTCACATCATATTGCAGTCAAGATTATGTTTATATCCTCTAAAGTGCTGGGACGCTTTCCTTGAATTTTCTGGGATGCTCTGTGTAAGTTAGAAGACATAGAGTTCCTTGAAGTTAGGTCCAATTTACCCATGATTCAGCATGTGAAGATTTTTTTGAATGGGAAGTCTTTGTCATTTAAATATCTTTAATATCTGTTGGCCTACTAAATTCTCTAGTTCTTCTTGAGTCTATTTTGGCACTTTTACTTTCCTAGGCAATTATCAAAGTCCTGTCAGCTTTCAAACTTGCTTGCATATGTAACGAATACTCTGGTTTTTCTTCTCAGTTGTATCTATAGTTATTTCCTGTTTCTGTCTTTAATTATCACTGTACCATCCTCTTTTTCATTCTTCTTATCAGAGGCCTACCTTCTCTTTAAAACAACAAACCAGCCAGCAGCTTTAGTCCTGTTGAGTTCCTCTATGATTCTGTGTTTTCTGTTCACTGATCTTTGCTGTTTCCTTTATTATTCTGACCCTGGGTCCTCAGTTTCTTCTCTTGCTCTTTTTCTCAACCTCTTGGGTTGGTTTACCCTGGCACTTTTAGTTTTCTACCATTCTGAGCACATGTACTTAAAATCAAGATGTCCTCAGCACTGTTTTAGTTGCATCACATTAATTTGGGTGTGCTGTTTCAGCATCATTCAGCTCCAAGGTTCCTTATCCTCTCCTATGACTGCGCTTATAATGTGGAGTTTTTATAATCTGTTATTTACATGAGCCTTCCTTTGCTACTCATTCCAGCACAGCTCCCTCATAGATGGGAAACACCTGCTGTTACCTGAATTACTGAGGCCAAACTCACTGTAGTTTTGTACATGCCCTCTGAATGCTTAAAAAGTAACATGTAAGTCCCAGCACTGAGAGGCTGAGGCAAGAGAACTGAAAATTCAAGCCCAGCCTGGTTAACTTAGAGACTTAGCAAGCCCCTGTCTCAAAGCATAAGAAAGGACTGGGGATGTAGCTCAGTGTGGAGGTTCTGGGTTCCACCCCCAGTACCAGGCACACATATGCACAAATACACATACCATCTGTGTGTGCTAAGTGCTCTGCTCACTTGTTAAATGCTCAAGATGTCAGGGCTCTCCTTCTGGGCTTAGTTCTGCAGGTTGCCTGAGCCAAGCCTGTGCTCCTCAGCCAACCTCTTCATAGTTCTAACGGTGCAGGTTTGGGGCACTGATGGAGCTATAGGTACTGCTATTTCAAGTGGTGCCAGGTACCACAAAAGCACCCACTCGTGATGCCACCCAGCCAGGCTCCCAGAACCCACTCTTTCCAGATACCCCTTGGGGACCGTTAGCAGCTGGCACAGCTTTCTCTCATCATTCCTAAACCTGGCTTCCTGCTGCTGCCCTAGTGCCCAAGTGGACTCCAGGGGATAGCTGTGTACCTGAGAATGGCCCAAGCATGTGCCCCCCAGTACCAGGCACACCTATGCACAAATACACACAGCCAGCCTACAGCCAACAGGATGAGGAAGCTCCTCTGCCCCAGGATCATGTGCTCCAGAACTTAGACTTCTGGACTGAAGCAGGTGGGACAAAGGACTGGACCACTTCCCAGGGCTAGTTCAGCTCTGCTGTGATGTCCCTGGTGAAGAAGCCAGCAACTAGAAGAGGCAGCCACTCACCTTCCCCCATAGGCAGGCTGGACAGTTCAGAACAGGTCCATAGAAGAAAACACTGGATACACCTGGGCTCAGAGCATCGTCACAGGAGCTGGAGGTCTGCAGAGGGGGCAGCCTGCGTAGAACCCACCTATCTGAAACAGAAACACAGGGCACATGAGGTCCTGTGCACAGCACTGCCCTTGGGACTGGGACTTGACATCACTTCTGGCATTAGCAGATCAGTAAACATCTCTGGAGCATTCAGGGCTAAGCTTGAGTGAGCAGGAGCCAATGCCAGCAGAGCTGACCCTGACAGTGCTGCCAACAAGGCCTAAAGAGGTCACAGCAGTCTGGGCAGGTGCCCACTTCACAGTGTGTAGCCCAAGAGAAACCTCCTGAGGGGCCTATATAATGTTTACTTATAACAGTTAGTATATTTATCTGTATACACTGATTTTAAACTGACATTTACGAAACTGTACATTCATTTAAGTGCATTGCTAGTTTTCTACTTTTACATCAGGAAGAGCATCTCACTCAACCTCTGACTCCAGCTTGCAATTTTGCCCACTGGAGCCGCCTTCTGTACCATCCAGTATTTTTCCAGAATGCCTCATTTTCACCCTACCCCATGTTTTTGACATTTTGCCTTTTGAATTCAGGTCTAGTACCTGGGCTGGAGACCTGACTCCTAGTGACAAGTGCTCAGTACGTAAGGCTGACCCCTGCTGTGCTCATAATATTCTATTCTGCTAGTGTATGTTTACGACCTCCACCAGTCATTGCTATGGGCATCCTAGAAGGCCCACTGAAAACAACTCCAACACTTGAACTCCTGAGACTGTGGCCCCCACAGGAATCAGAATCTGTGATAGGTGCTTCTGTCCTCCTCTGAACCAGCCAGGTAGCCACACAGTACTGCTCTCGGGCATTTTCAGCCAATGTCTTTTTCACACAACTACATGCAGTTCAAAGTGAGGTGGACCAGAAAGTGCCAGTGCAAGGTGAACTGGTCAGTTTTCCCACTACTAGAACTAAATATCCAACACTGACAACTTAAAGGGGGAAATGGTTTATTGAGCTCAGCGTTTCAGAGGATCGAGTCCATGCTCAGCTGACTCTAAAGCAGAGACATTATGGCAGAAGAGCAAAGCTGTTCACTTCATGGTGGCTGGAAAGCGGAGCACCAGAAAGAGATGTATCCTCCACAGGCTCACGCAGTGACCCACCTCCAACTGGCCCCACTTCAGCTGTGACCTATCAGCATGCTCAGGTATGACCATCAGTGGATGAATCCACTGAAGTGTTTATCACCCCATGATCCAGGATCTCTCCAGGAGTCTCTTTATTCAGTCTAATTGACAGTTTAGAAGGATAAGGTTGACTGAAGACCATTCTCTTTTCCACAGCCCACATCTAGGGAGGCTGCTGCACAGGTGTAGCACAGGGCTTGGACGCCACTGGCCACAGGTGGGAGACATGGCTGTGGAGTTGGGCCCTGAAGTTGAAGCATGGGATACACTGAAGTCACTGGAATGTACACTTTCAGAATGAACCTCATGGTGTATGAACTACATCTCAATTTTAAAAGCTAAGGTAGCCACTTTGAAGATATCAATATGTAATACAACCACCATTGTTAATTCCCTACCACTTTGTTTGTAACTCTGTATTGTCTGTATTGTGCTTGTGACATGTTGTAAAATGTTGTATGCCTGTTAATGTTTCCCTCCTTTTATCTTTAAAATAAAAAAATAAATAAAAATAAAAGCTAAGGTAATACTCAAAGATTAAAAACCAAAAAGACCTAGGTATGCTGGTACATGCCTATAATCTCAGATACTTGGGAGATGTAAGCAAGGGGATTAAAGAGTTTGAGGCCAGCTTGGGCAACTCAGTAAGACCATATCTCAACATAAAAAAACAAAACAGGCTAGGGAGTGTGGCTCAGTGGTAAAGCACTTGAGTACCATGTGTAAGGCCCTGGGTTCAATCCCCAATACTGCAAAAAAAAAAGAAAAAAAAAAGTAAGAATCAATGGAAAAGATCTCCCATTAAAGGTGGCAGAGCTACACATGTTCATCTCCACCCTTATAGAAACCACACTTAATGATACTAAGAAATGGAAAGGCACATACCAGCACGCAGCAGCCATCAGGACAAAGGTGCACCCCTATAGGCACCAAGCATCTGGGGAAGCGAGAACACTGGAGTTGTGGAAGTAGTACTGGAATCAGAAAGAGGGAAGAGAGCGATAAGCAGTGCAGGATAGCACGGGAAGGGGAAACCTGAGCCAACGACAGGAGAGCCCAATAGGACAGGCCACTGGGCTGCTTGCGTGGCTCCAAAGGCAGTAGTATTGGTGAAAGTAAGAATTAAAATTTTTATAAGCGAGCCTTCATCCCCAGCTAGCCTCAGGCACTTCTTGTCACCAGCTGATCACTCGTTCATCCCTACAGGAGCTCATTCAGGCTGCTTGCTCAAAGACATCAAGAGTCCTGAAGATGGTGAAACGCTCAAATTAAACAAGTGTTAAGTGGAGAAAACAGATTGAACAGCAGGACTTTTTGACACCTAGTCACAGAATTGTAGCAGGTAGGGTGATTTTCAAAATCAGGAGAACTGAGAATTCTGTCCCTTGAAGAAGACCCCACAGTCAAGCAGCCAGAGCTCTACGTGATCAGCTGACAGGGAAACTAGCAGCACAGGGTCCCAGCAGCTGCAGGACAAAATACCATCAACCTCAGGCAGTGGGGACTCAAAGGCCAAGAATGAGAGTAAACTGTCCCTGGGGCCAAAGCATTGATTTCTGGGAAATCAAGGGAAGGGTGCAGTGGAGTCTGAGGCCAGAGATGATACTCCTGTGACAAAGGTGCTTCAGAGGAGGAAGAGAAACTGAAGAAGAAGGCAATGTGGAAGCTGTAGGGCAGAAAAGAAGGGAATGCAGGAAGAGTAGATGCATTTCTCACAGCAATACACTAAGGCATCAGAAGGCACACTAATTTAACTTATCTCCAAAAGTACTATTTTTAAGAAATTACATTTTTCTGATCAGCAGAAAAGGATGCTCCTAGATAAAGAAACCTGGTGAGCCCCATAGCCCTCAACACTCCCTACCCAGCCAGAGACACCTGTTACTGCTAGTTCAGAAGTCCTGTGTGCTTTGAAACAGCAAAAGCAAAGAAAGTCTCTTGGGTTAGATAATAGTCTCCAAGTGAAGCCCATTACAGTTCTATGAGAGGAAGCAGTAAAAGCAAATCTTCTCAGCTCATGACATCACCTTCAGCCACAAAGCAGAGACAGCCCTCAAAAAGTAACTGAAACTGTTGATGACATGTGCAGAAGTGAAAGCCACCAAAAGGGAAGAACTAAATGTTTCAGGAACACAAATGGATGATTAAGATTAAACAAAAGGAAGCTTGAAATAAGAATGAACGAGAAAAAAAATCAAAAAGAAGGAAAAAATCACCCTGGACATAAAGACTGATATAAGGGGTGAAAGGAGAATAACTTCAGTTAAATGTATAAGGAAGGACTGAAAAACAGCAAAAGAAAATGAGACAGAGCAATGTAAAATTGATTAAAGATAAAGTGATAGGTAGAGAGTATAATGCAAAAATGATCCAAGAAATATATACTGGAATTCCCCAAAGAGAAGAGTGAAACTATGAAGGAAAACTAATACTAAAACTCCCAGTATGGGTTTTAGAGGAAAGTTATTTTGTGAGCTGAAGAGGCTCATCAAGCACCTAAGAAAACTGACCAGGATGTGGCCTCAGGCACATCTAGTGAACTCCTGAGACAGCAAACATTCTCTGGGGCTATGGACAGAAGGACCAGCTCACTCAGCAAAAGCCAGGAGTCAGACTCTGACACAGCTATGAGCAGGTCACAGTAGGGCCACCCCTTCATCAACTCCATAAAAATGAGGTGTGACCACAGGGCTTTGTCAGCTAGACAATGTTGCATAATTAGAGCTTTCCATATCCAAGACAAAAGCAGAGCTGTGTCTGTGAGTGTGCGTGAGAAATGCACTAAAGACAAGCTCCTTTGTCCCACAGGACAGTTGGGGAATCAGCACAATGAACAACAATGCATGTCTGATGATCAAAACAAGCAGTAAGGGCAGGGATGGAGAGGGAACCGTGACAAATGTTTCTTAAGGGTACTGTTTTGAAAAAGGAGATACATACAATAAATGAATCAGAGGTGGACAAACGGAAAAAGGGTGAAGTAGAATAAGTTCATTGACTGTGGTACAGGAAGTGGGCTGGAGACAAAAATACCATTGGAAGCTAACAGGCCAAACACAATGCTTAAAGGAAGACAGAGGGACCTGGCACTGTGACAGCTACAATTACAGCTGGTCTTCCATGCATGCCAGTTCTCAATGTAGATTCAACCAATCACAGATTAAAAGTACTCAGAAGAAAAATTGTATCTATATTGAATAGGTTTAGATTTTTTTCTTGTCATTGTTCCCTGAACAATATAGTTTATCAAATATTTACATGACATATACATTACATTTGGCATTATAAGTAATGTAGGGATGATTTAAAGTTGAAGGAGGATGTGGAGAGGTTCTGTGCAAATACAATGTCACTCTGCACATGGGATATGAGCATCTGCAGGTATCAGTATCCAAGAGGGATCCTGGAACCAATTTCCTACAAATGCGGAGGGACAACCATATGAAGATGACCAAGAAAACCAAGGCACAAGCCTTCCTAAATGCCAAAAGAATTAAAGAGAGGGAGATCAAGGATGACATGCCACATTAAAAAAAGATACACAATATACACACTAAATACAGAAACAAGTTATGTAACAGTTGACTATGAATGCATTGGGCATACCAGCACATGAACAAATGCAGGTGGGTTTACCAGCTCAGGTGGCTCACAAACAAGCCCTGCTTTATCCTAGAGACACGGCTGTTAACTGAGTAACACGGCTAAATATTAGCAGGTGGGAAACACACTAGGCAGAGGCACAAGCTGAAAAATCTAGGGCTGCAATGTGGATCGCAGACAAGGCCCAGCCTTGCTCCAAGAAATGACTGAGACCTGGCAGCCACTTCCTACTGCAGAAGAGTTACTCTGCCATGAAACCGTGTGAGCTAAGCATGCCCAGGAAGTGGGCAACACAG